CTTCTTTCACTTCAAATTTTTGATTATTATCCATTATAGGAGGTGGTAGTATTGGTCTACTTTTCCAGATATTTATTCTCTTATATGGCTCCAAAAAAAATACGTAAAATATAGAATGAATTTTCATAGACTTCAATAGATGTAATCAATAAGCAACTTGATTGATTTCTTTGTAAATAAAAAATAGTCCAAGTCTATGATAATCTAACTTGCCACATGCGCAATTAGTTTTAATATTATTATGAAGTAATCATAACTTATCAACATTGTAAAAATGAGGTTGTTCCTTGCAATAAGCATTTGCATTATTCTTTTCTTATTCTTGAGCCTCTTTTAATCACACCTTTATTGTTGTATATATCTTAGATAATTGATTTGTCAAATCTTCCATTAAAAAATTATTAACTTTTAAAAAATCAAAAGTATCAAGTTGTGGATGATATTCATAATTAGCAAAGAAAGATATTTTTTGTGTAGAAAAATATACTATATTATTATAAGCAAACTTTGCCAATAATAAAAGAGTTGTTTAATTATTTTGTTGGTAATTGATGGTACACCTCAAATATTGTTCCAAAATTTGATTTATACACTTTGTTTGTCCATTAATTTGAGGATAGAAAGTTAAAGATAGTTTAATGTCTACTTTTAGAATTTTAAAAAGTGTTTTCCAAAATCATAATACAAACTGAGTTTCCTTATCTGATATAATATCCTTATGCAATCTATGATAGCGATAAATGTTATCAAAGAAAGGTTTGGTTATTTCTTCACTTGTCATAGCTTTTGTACATGGTACAAAATATATTATCTTAGTGAAACGATCTACTATTATGAATATAGAATCATAAGAACTTGAGATTCAAAGATTTTTAATAAAATCCATAGAAACAAAAGACTATGGTTGTTCTAAAATAAATAAGAGTTGAAGAAATCCATAGAATTGATGAGAAAGAGATTTTGACCTTAAACAAACATCACATGGTTGGACAAAGTCTTTCATTGTTTTTTACATTTGAAACCATCAAAAATCTCTAATTATAAGTTCTAAAGTCTTGTTGTATTCAAAATACCCAACTATTAGAAAGTCATGACATGCTTAAAGAATATGTAAACATGAATTTCTTTCAAGAATATATAAGTACCCTTCAAAGTAGAATAAGTTATTTTTGAACTCAAACTTAGAAGTATTATAAAACTTAAAAGAAGGATTCTTCATATCATGAAAAAAAAGATCAAAGTACACACTTTATTGAATTTGATTGACAAAGATTGAATCAACAGTTAATGTTGATTTTATTGCTTAAAAATAAAAGTACTTTGATTTCAAAAGAATTATTCTTTGTTAATCAAAAGATACGTTTGATTCTTTTGAAATAAGATAAGAATATCTAAAAATGGTATTTAATAAAAATCATTATTTTATAAGTTGATAAGTGATCTTAAAATCAAATCTTTACAAAGACATGCTCCAATATGCTCAGCAATGATTCAAAATACGTATTGATATAAAATATTCAAGATTCTTATGATCAGTATAAATAATGACTCAATTATAATTACCTTCTAGATAATGGCACCATCTTTGAAATGAATCCATAATTGTAAGAAGTTCTTTTTTATGAATCTCGTAGTTGATTTTGGTTGCTAAAAATTTTCTTGAATAAAAAACTATTAAAAGAAGCTTATTATTTATTCTCAATTGTGGTAATACAACACCCAAAGTAAAGTTTGATGTGTCTATTTTCATAAAAAAATTACTTAAGAAAGTGAATGCAATACAAGATTGGTACAAAAATAAAGATTATTTTTGAAGCTTCAAATATTATTTTTGCTTCTTGATTCTATTAAAGTTTTTCTTTACTAGTCAAACATATAAGTGGAGCTGCAACTTGAAAGAAGTTCTTAATGAAGATTCAATAGTAATTGGCAAATCTCAAAAAACACTGAATATTTCTTATTTTTTTTATTATTTGCTAATAAATAATAATTTAATTTTTTTTAAGATCCATGATAAATCCATCATTTGAAATGATGTATCCTAAAAATTTGAGCTGAGTAGTGTAGAATACACACTTTTCTACCTTGGCATAGAGTCTTGCATCTTTTAATTTCTGTAATATATAATGAATATGAAGTTCATATTCTTCTGTATTCTTAGAATAGATTAAGATGTCATCTAGATAACAAACAAAAAAGTCATATAAAAAATCTCAAAAAATATCATTTATTAAATGCTAGAAATTTGTTAGTCTATTTGTAAGTTTAAAAAGTATGATATTATATTCAAAATATTCATATCTTATTTGAAATATAATCTTCTATTCATCTCATTTTTTAATGCATACTAGATTGTATGCTTTTTGTAGATTTATTTTTTTATAGATCTTAGCTTAATTTAGTTAATTAAGAAATTCATATATCAAAGATAGCAAGTACCTATTCTTGATGGTGATTTTATTGAGCTCTTGATAATTGACACACTTCCATAATGATCTATCTTTTTTTTTTACAAATAAAATTAGAGCATTTGTTGGAAATTTGAAATAGCATCTGAATTTCTTAGCCAAATTTTCTTTAATTTATTCTTTGAGTTCAGTTAACTCATTTTGTGATAAATTGTAAATTGATCCAAACAATAGTTGAGTTCTTTCTTGAAGGTCAATTGAGCAGTTATATGGACAATACTCTGATATAGTATATGCAATCTTCTTCTCAAATACGTCTTGAAAATCTTGATATTGGCTTTGAATGCCACTTGAAGTCTTTTTTCTATTAAAAATAAGTACAACATAAATGATACAAGATAATCCTTTCTTTGTTGTATGCAAAAAAGCTCTTGCACCTACAAGTACAAGTTTAATTGTACTAGAATTATCACTTTTTATTTAATCAATTATAATCTTATTTACACTTTCAAAAAATTCAAGACTATTAAAAATCCAAACTATTTTTGAATCATGATAAACCTAAAATGATTGAATTACAAAAAGAATTAATGATATTAAATATTACAAAGCTACTGTGACCATTAATTGTTACTTTCATAGAAAGGATTTCATGAATAACATTTTTTAAAGATAATATATGAATATCTATGTTTTTTTTATTGTAATACAAATTGTATCATATTCTTTATACATGGATCAAAACTTTGTTTGAAAAAGCTTCTAAATTATCCAATATTAGATTTCATTGTTCGAAAAAAGATGAAAACTATAATAATGTTAAATCTAAAAGAAATATACCAATGAATCTAATTTTTGATCTTGGAATTGAATAGCTTTAGGATTGAAGTTCAATAATAAATTATACTTGATTGATAAATCTTTAAAACTTAGATCTTGTACCATCAAACTTCTTAGACAATGCAATCCTTGGTTTTCTAATACTAGAAGGATGTTCCACCATAGGAGAAGGAATCTAATTTGGTATAGATATTGAAGTAGCTCCAATCATCTCTATATTTTAGTTCTCTGCTATTTTTTTTGCTTCTTGTGGGGGTAAATTGAGTTGATGCATCGCAAGTATTAACTCCATTAATTGCTCTTATATTTGTGTAATTGCACTTTTTATTTTGAGAAGATATGCCATGATAATACTTAAAGAATGAAAGATGTCTAGTATTGTTTAAGACAAATAAAAGAGAAGTCTTGAAAATAAAGAAAAAAAAATGCTAAAAAAAATATCAATTTAGAAGAGGATAATTTATAATTCTTAATATGCTTAAGTCTAATTTTTAAAAAAAAGATAATCCACTCTTAATCAAGAAAAGACAAAGCTTTGATGTGATAAGTGTACTCTTATTAATCTATCAAGGATAAGAACTCAATGAAAGTAATTAATCAAATGAGGCTCTCTCAAGGAAATATGAGAAAATAAAAACAGAAAAGTATATATATTAAAAAAAAAACTAAAATAGCTATTTCCAAAAGATAAAGAAACTGGAGACTCTTGAAACTAGACTGGAAACAAAAAAAAACTAACAAGAATGAAAAAGGCTTTACTCTTGCCTCTATATATACTATCTACCTAAAATCTATGTGGCAATGTTTTATAGGACATCCAAAAATGTATTGATTTTGTATGATATGTATCTAAACTTGCAAGGCAAGTTTTCTATATGGATGCCATATAGTTAGCTTGTTCTACAAGCTACCAACATATGTGGCACGTGGTTAGCTTGTTGACCAAATTTCTAACCTACCAATCAACTACAAACATATGTAAAGTCAAAATAGTGTCTAAAAATCTTTTCTAAATTAAAACCTTTACTTTTAAACAAAACTTCCCTATCCTATATATCAAGTGCATGCTTAGCCAAACCTTTAATTGACAGAATCAATTAAAATCATAAATCAAAATCATGATTATTTTTCTAAAACTTGTGATATTATTGGTCAAACAAAATATTTTTATCTTCACTTCATTAATATCTTTATTTTTGATGTAATCAACAAAGTCCATTACTAAATATGGAGAATTAATGCATGAATTGATACATGAATAACATTAATTCTGATTATTCATTTGTTCTACTCTTCTGAATAGTACAAAAGATACACAAAATTTGTGATTAATTTACCACATATTATTGATTTGTCTCCTTTTCCAAAAGTCAATATAATTTTCCCATAATTAGAAATCATCAACTGTCATCAGTATGTAAAATAATGGTCATCTTTCTATTTAGTAGAGAAAAGGTTTTTTTAGAGTACCAATGAGTGTCTGTTAATATTTGAAATCTTCTGTTGTTCTTTTTTTTCTTTTTTGTCGTGGTAACAGTAAATAAAAATCAACCCCAGCCAAGTCATGAGATCCCAAGCGAAGCTTCTGGCGGAACTGGAATTTTCCGCAACGAGAAGAGGTCTTTATTGTACTGTTTTCGTTCCGTAATTTGTGGTCTCGGCAATCGTTATGGCCGATCTCGGCATCCATTACGCAACAGAATCGATAAAATTGACACGTGGTGACGGCTACTCAACCGCGCGACCAGTGGCTTTCCGACGAACCTTTGTCTTTGCAGCCCTTTCACGCAAGCTCTCTGGATCACTCGCTGACTCGGCCTTGCGATTCTATCTCACTCGTTTTTGTGTTGATTAACCCCGCGTGCTTTCTGGGATTTGTGGGTTCGCAGCCGTTTCGCAATTTCAAGCATGTTGCTCGAATTCCTGACTGATTTTTGGAAATTGGGGTGCTGTCTTCCGCGAGTTTTGGTTTTTTCTGGATCACAACGTTTCTCAGTTTGTATGTCATGTCGGTCTGGGCGATTGGAGGAATTTGGGACGTCGCGCTGAGCTTGACTGGTTTGACGGTGATTTCGATCTTGCTGCTCATACTTACATAGACTTGGTTAGTCGGTATGGTCGATGCGGTGTTTAACTCTGGTGTGTTGGTGAGTGGAACTGAATTCTTTCTAGTTTGTTGTCATGATTTTCGTCCTTTTGTAGGATGTATTGGCTAGGCTACGTTTAGTGGTCAAATGTACTGGGTTGTGGCTTCTCGATTTCTTGTCGCTTAATGCTGGAAAATGTGGTACTAGGCATGCGCTGCGGTTATAGTGATGTGTGGTTTTGTATAGATAGAAGCCAATACGTGATTGTCTAAGAGAGTGTGAAATTGGAGTAGAGATCGATGTTAGAACCTTCAATGTAAAGAGTACGTGATGGGAGAGATAGTACCTCAGTATGTGATACATTTTTGTGCATATCTCATTGGTTCTGAATGACATATCTATTGTTGTTTCAATTTGCTAATGTAGTAGCGGAGCAGAAGAGGGGTCTCGTGATCAATGTAAATGAGGGTTGAAACAAACACTTGAAACGAGTTCAGGTTTGTTTCGTCTTCCCAGTGTGTGCTGTATGCAGACTGGTGAATCATGTGTTCACTGTGGATGCTTTTGTGGTTTCTCCCGATTTTGTATTGTTGGTACTATTATTTCGATGAAATATTCCATATTCGGCATTGAAGCTGTGTATACTAGGTGAATGACATGAAGCTTTGTTGTTTGTCAAACCAAACTCATATTAGCCAGGAAGTGAAAACCAGCAGTTCGACATATATTCTATTTTTTCCCGAGTTTGGTATCATTTGAAGTTTTTGAAATGGTCATGTGAATTGAGCACTACAAAATCATGGCTTTACATTGCAGGGCTCTGCTAAGATCTTCGAGATGTCAAGCATTTTAAACTTAACGGTGTCTTATTGCCTAGTTTTGTGTTCCGAATTATGGGTTGTATCACGGTCCGAATGCTGGTTTGTGTTATCATTTCATTATGTGTTCAATTCCTTGCCATGTCTATGTACCGGACCGTGATTTATTGATCAATTGTGGTTGTGTGTTCCATCGTGCAGATCTGATCTCTTACAGGTCTTGCCATATGAGTTCCAGGCCATTGTTATTTTGTTGTTAGCGGGCGAAGCCGACATTCAACTGGGTTCTGAGTTGGGCTCATAAGCCTACTAGCCACTCTCAACTGGTGATGCAGGGCGTGTTTGCCGAATAAAAGAGCATCGGGGTATGTCTCTTTCTGCCGACCAGCAACTCCTTGCGGCGGTTTTCTCACGAAACGAGTCTGCAGATTGGGGGAGCATTTCCTTTGTCTTTTTTCTGTTCGCGGGTGTTGTGCGAACTGGATTGATCTGGTTCGGAAAGTGAGCGCCTCGGTGATAGTGAATTGAGTGGGTCGTTTGGTGTGCGAGGTTTTTATAAAAGAAAGATATATTTTGATTTCAATTTTGTTTTAGTTTTTTCTGTTTTTCAACTTTTTATTCGAAAGAGGCCTAGGAGGATTAGTTTGTCTACTCTACCTCTCGGAAGGGGGTTGTGGTGAAGTTGAAGTGAAAGTTTGTCTGTATTTTAGTAAGGTGATGCATTGGAGTGGTTCCCTAGTTCCTAACTGCAGGGTAATGTCTAGGTTGAGGGGATTTTACATGCACCACTAATTGGGCACTTAGGTTCTGAATTTGAGTGTGTTGCTTTGGCACTTGGGCAATTTTCACCAGAAAGCTATCAATGTTTGTTGTTAGGCAATAGTAGAAGTTATGTGTGGATTTTTGGCTTGTTTCTCTCATTTTATTGTTAATGGACTAAGCAAACATTTAATTAGGTTAAGAGTTGGTTTTATAAGCCTATGATGATGGTTAGGAGAGTGCTTGATATTTCATTAACTTTACACAAATACTTACACCCATTAGAAGGATCTAACACACTAGAATAAAGAGTTAGAATAAGAAGCTCCTAGTCATAAAGTAGTGTGCAAACTTCTCTATGTTTGAGTAGACATTGAGAATATTTAGTGATATTCTTTTGATGGCTATTTTTGTGAGCAATCAAAAATCTCTTTAAAAGACTTTGAATCCTAGTCGACACATGTGGGTGGTGTTGGGGTTGATTGTGATTTGAGGTAATCAAGGAAGTAGGAATTGCGATCTCTTGACATTGTGGTGGTTTGTGGGAGCCATTTGATTTTTTTGAATTATGATATAAGATGGTTAATTTTTACATCAAAGTTGTAGATTGAAGTAAAGATATTAAATATGTAAAGAATTAAATGTTGGTTTTAAGATTATTCAATATTAATGGTTTAGTTTTAGAATTATAAATTCAATTTGTAGGGTGGAAGTTTGTATGGTTTGTGGGACAATGTAAAAAAAAGAGTGTTTGATATATATTCTTGAAATAGCAATTAAATCTAATATGTAATTTTCTATAAGTGTTAAGAAGGTGAAATTGGATTTTTTTAAATTTTTTTAATCCATTATGGAATATCTTTTGGAATTATTTAAGCAATATGTATTCTTCATTTGGAGTTATTTATATGGTTTTGTTATATCAAGATCATCAAGCATCATGAAACATGACAAAATATCAAATATGCAAGGTATTTGTGGAAATATTTGGAAAGGATCTGAATTCTATATTGGAGCATTTGAGGTTTTATTAAAGAAAAGCCACTTGTTGAATAGAAACCAATGTGCTAATTTGTGCAAGAAAATTGAACATGTTACAAAGATATTTGACCAGCTAATGTCTTATATTAATGATAGACCTGAGTTTGGACCTTTTTTGACTGAGTTTTTTTTTTTTATTAAATAAATCTTATTATTTAGTAGAAAATTGTGGAAAAGAAAATTGGTGTGAAGAAGCTATCTTCCAATTGAATAACAAGGAGTCTTTTAGAAAATTACTTTTGGATTTAAAATGTTGTTGTGATATAGCAAATGATGTGGTTTTGAAATATTATCCCAACAAAGTCAAAGACAATAGCTTTGCAATTTTTAATGTTGCAACACATGATGAAATAGAAGAAGATATTGAATTTCTATGGAAGAAGTTGATCCATGCAAATGAAGAAGAAGATTTTGAATACTTTGGAATAGTAAAGCATTTACTACAAAGGTTAGAAGACTTACTTTATATAGAAGGTGAAGAGTTGAGTGATTTAAAACTATTATCAAATATACAAAGTCATGAAATCACAAAATACTTAAGTAAAGGAAGTTATGGCAAAGTTTATAAGTTAAAGTGGTTGGGACTTGTGTGTGCCACTAAAAAGATGGATGTTATATTTGATAAAATTTTCATTAGAGAAGTAAGCATTCTAGCAAGTTTGAACCATACTAACTTGATAACCTATTATTTTGCAATGAAAAGAAGTGCCAATGGAAGTATAGAATTTTTTGTAAGAGAAAATGAAAAGGAGTATTTATACATTGGAATGGAATTGATGCAAAACAATTTGAGCAATATGTTGAAAGAAGAAAATGATGTATCATATATTTTTCTTATTGATATTATGCATCAAATTGCAAAAGGGATATGTTACTTACATGACATGCACATTGCACATCGAGGTCTAAAGCTTGAGAATATTTTGGTTAATATTGTGAAGTCAAAGATTATGAATAATATTGTTCGACATGCTATAGTAAAAGTGATTGACTTTAAAGTGTCTAAGATTGAAGTTGGAAGAAATCCAAAAGCTAGAGAGAATAATTATATTTATGGTAGTCTTGGATATATGGCTCCAAAGGTATTAAAAAATAAATTTCAAACAATGACAATGTGTCTTTTTGAAGCTGATGTTTATTCATTTGCAATGATATGTTCTAAGATTCTTTCAAAAGAAGACCCATTTGATGATGTTCATGAGATAAAAAAGATATTAAAAAGAATTAAAAAAGGTGAAAGACCAAAGTTACCGTCAAATTGTGATGACTTGAATGAGCTAATCCAAGAATGTTGGAGGTTGAATCTTTTGCATCGGCCAAAGTTTGCAAATATTTGTAAAAGATTGGAGTTACTAAAAAAAAAAAGGTATTTAGTTGGAATTAGTGTGGAAAATGCTCCATATTTTAGAGCATCAAAAAATAATTTTTTATCAAAATATAGAATTGTAGCAAATACATAAAGAAGTACTATTAGTAAGACTTATACTAAAATCCATAGAGAGTATGTATTGAATTAATTGTATCATAAACTTGTATGCATTCTTTAATGCCATAATGATCTATAAATGCCTTACTGTAAGGTCAAGAAAGTAAGACTAGGTTAAAATGTAGTATATACAATTTTTTGGTTTTATTTTTGATTTATGAGAGAATTTTCTAATTTCTGGTTGATGTACATGAAGAAGAAATATTTGGTAGAGCACAATATTTATCACAAATAAGACAACAATATACAAATAAAGTGAAGGCATTGTATTTTGTTGGAATGGATGGAATAGGTAAGACCACAATAGCAAAAGCTATATTAACTAGTTTAAAAGACATATATAATGTCTCATGTTTTGTTGAATGCATTGAAAGTGGTGGTGATTGTTATACAACTTCTTGCAATATTTTAGAACAACTTAAGGTCAAATCAAATCCAAAGGATATAAAAGAAGCTCAAGCAATATTGAAATCATTCTTGATGGAGAACAAAACCATCTTGGTCTTTAACAATGTAAAGAATCAAAGTCAAATTGAAGATGTTGTACCTATGGATGTCATATTTGCTAGCAATAGTAGTACATTGGTTGCAACAACTCAAGATTCAAAGGTAATAAAGCACAGTGGTGAAGAAGTTCGTAAAATAAATATTGAAGAACTTGATGAAGAAACAAGCATGAAGTTATTTATCATTCATTCTTATGGCTAAGAAAATTTTCCTAATGAACTTATTGAGATTGGTAAAAAAATTGTAAGAGCTTGTAATGGCCTACCATTGAGTCTAAAAGTTATGGGAGCATTTTTAAAAGAAAATAAGAGATTAAGGTGTTAGGAGCGAGCTTTACAAAAGTTGAAAAAGGGAAGAGAGTTGGATGGAGATGAAAAGAGTAGTAACTACAAAATTTGGAACATATTGAAGGTAAGCTTTGACAATATGAAAGTTGAAGAGAAGAGTATGTTTTTGGACATATTTTGTTTCTTTTGTAGTGATGTATATCCACGAGGCATGTCAAAAGAAAGAGCATTGCGAATATGGACCAAAAGTGAAAAAAAAACATATTTGAATAAGATATAGAATTTATATTGGACACATTGATCTACCAATCATTGATCAAAGTAGACAAAGATGGAATTATAAGAATACATAATCAACTACGAGATACGGATAGACACATTGTAGAAAAAAAATAGAATATAAATATACAAGAATGTGGAACTTGAATGTAGATCAATTTCATGGATTATCAAATAAGATAATTTCACTTAATTATTACATACATGGGATGTAAAAAAACTAATAATGATAAAAAAGAATTAATATTTTAAGATTAAAGTTTCTATTTAGTTATATTTATAATGCAATATTTATCATATTTTTGAGATGTATGTTGATGCAAAGTTATTATATAAGACAAATTAATCTTATATTGTATTTAGATTTATATTTATATTAAGAACATCATTTATGTAGAAATTCTAATTTGATTTTATTGGTTTATAGTTAGAAGGATTGTTTTGCAACAACATATACAACAACAATATAAGTCAAATAATGAGTACTTTTTTTCTATCACTTCAATATTTAAGTTGTAATATTGGTGATTTTACTCCTAAAATTATAATAAGGATACTAAACATATTCTTTATGTTGGTAAAACATTCTCTAAGTTTAAAATACTTTCTATTAGACAAGTCAAAAGAATATAACTTAAAAGAAGAATTAACAGAGAAAACATTGGAAATTCTATATGACAATGATGTTTGGAAAAAATTTGATGATTTAAATGTCTTACAACTAAGAAATTTTTCTTTTATAGAGAAATTTCCAAATTCATTCTTTAGAATTACTACATTATTAGAACTTGACTTAGAAGGATACTTAAACTTAACTATGCTACCAAATAAAATTGAGTATATGATTTCTTTGAAGATATTTAGTTTAAGATATTGTAAAAAATTAAGTTTATTACCAATATCAATAAGAAGTCTTTTTGCCTTAAAAAACCTAAATATGGGAAGGTGCTTAAGTTTAACCTCATTACCAAATGAATTTGGCAACCTCACATGTTTGACTACTTTGAGTATAGAGGGATGTTTAAGCTTGACATCATTGCCAAATGAATTTGGCAACCTCACATCTTTAAAAATCTTTGATATAAGTAGATGCTCAAGCTTGACATCATTGCCAAATGAATTGGGTAATCTCACATCTTTGACTACCTTGTATATACATAGGTGTACAGGCTTGACATCATTGCCAAATGAATTAAGCAACCTCACATCTTTGAAAACCTTTGATATAAGTTGGTGTTCAAGCTTGACATCATTGCCAAATAAATTGGACAATCTCACATCTTTAAAAACCTTCAATATAAGCAAGTGCTCAAGCTTGACATCATTGCCAAATGAACTAAGCAACCTCACATCTTTAAAAATCTTTGATATATATGGGTGCTCAAGCTTGACATCATTACCAAATGAATTGGGTAACCTCATATCTTTGACTACCTTGTATATACAGAGGTGTATAACCTTGACATCATTGCCAAATGAATTAGACAACCTTACATATTTGACTACTTTTAATATAAGTGAGTGCTCAAGCTTGACATTGTTATCAAATGAAGTGGGCAACTTTACATCTTTGACTGTCTTTGATATAAGTTGGTGCTCAAGCTTGACATCATTATCAAATGAATTGGGCAACCTCACATCCTTGACTACATTGAAAATAGATAGGTATTCAAATTTAACATCATTTCCAAATGAATTGGGCAATCTCACCTCTTTGACTACCTTAAACATGAAAAGTTACTCAAGATTGACATCATTGCCAAATGAATTGGGTAATCTCACGTCTTTGACTACCTTAAATATGAGAAGCTGCTGAAGATTGACATCATTGCCAAATAAATTAGGTAACCTTATATCTTTGACTATCTTAAATATGAAAAGTTGCTCAAGATTGACATCATTACCAAATGAGTTAGGTAACCTTACATCTTTGACTATCTTAAATATGAAAAATTGCTTAAGATTAACATCATTGCCAAATGAATTAGGCAACTTCATATCTTTGATTATCTTTGATATAAGTGATTACTCAAGGTTAATATTATTACCTAATGAATTAGACAACCTCGCATCTTTGACTATCTTAAAAATAAAGAGGTGCTTAAGTTTAACATCATTGCCAAATGAATTGGTCAATCTCATATCTTTGACTACTTTAAATATAAAAAGTTGCTCCAGATTGATATCATTGCCAAATGAATTGGACAACCTCACATCTTTGACTACCTTTGATATAAGTAATTGTTCAAGCTTAACATCATTGCCAAATGAATTGAGCAATCTCATATCTTTGACTACCTTAGATATGAAAAGTTGCTCAAGATTTATATCATTGCCAAATGAATTGGGCAACTTCACATCTTTGACTACCTTGAAAATAGAGGGATATTCAAGTTTGACATCATTACCAAATGAATTGAGCAACCTCACATCTTTGACTACCTTTGATATAAATTGGTGCTCAAGCTTGACATCATTGCTAAATGAATTAGGCATATCACAACTTTAACTATTTTAAAAATAAAAGGATACTCAAGCTTAACATCATTATCAAATGAATTGGACAATCTTACATCTTAGACTACCTTAATACAAAAAGTTGCTCAAGATTGGCATCATTGCTAAATGAAATGGACAACCTCACATCTTTAACTATCTTTAATATTAAAGGTTGTTCAAACCTAGTATCATTTTTAATCAATATATTTTTAAAAAATATACTTTTAAAAAATATTAAAATAAATAAATAATTAAAAAAATAGTACATTTATAAGTTAGTAAGAAATGTAAAATCAAATTAAGATAAGATATGTATTAAATACATTAGTTCAAAAAAAATAGTAATTCAAAGAAGATTAGATTTAGAATATACCTAAGAAACCAAGACAATAAAATTATTATAAGTACATATTTAGATTATTTAACTTGTTTAGTTTGTAAAATCAATAAAAACTTTAAGATTTAAAATTTATTTTTTTTAAGTTGAGATTATATTGGTATTTTTAAACTAAATATTTAGAGATATATAGATGTGTTTGATTTTTTTTATCCTTTTGTTTTTGAATTTTAATTTGACCTATCTTCTATTTTTGTTATCTATAATTTTAATAATATAGATAATTTATTCTACAAGTTTTTAATTTTTTATATAAGATATTATTAAATTTATTTATTTTTATCAAATTTAATTTATTTATAATATCTTAATAATTATTAAACTAAATATGTATATTCATCATACATTGCTATGAAGTTGGATAATAAAGAGGATTAAAGAAGTCATATCAAGAAATCTTTAATGTACTTTTCAAGAGTACCAAAATTAGAAATAAGATAGATATAAAGTGTAGATGAAATAAGACACATTATTAATAGGAACCTTAGGATAGTTTGGAAGTTATAAAACCTTATACTTTAAAAGAATATTGAAATAAGGAATAAAAAAACTACAAAGTTTTCATGAAGTAAAAAATAGTCTTAATATCAAGGATATAAATTTCAAACAAATGAAACTTCAATATACTTTTGTGCCACTTAAAATGACTAAATATTCACTTAAAATCAATATAGTATTGAAACTAGAATGACTAATGCCAAAGCCAAGAAGACTAAAAAGACTTGAAATAAGACTAGAAACTAAATAGGTGTTGACAAGAGTAAAGAAAGCTTTATTCTTGCCTCCATATGTATCATTTAATTAAGAGCTAAGTAATGACATTCTATAGGACTTCCAACACGTGTTCAATTTACAACACATGTATCTTAACTTATAAGGAAAGTGTTCTATATGTGCATTATATAGTTAGCTTGTACCATAAGCTACTAACATGTGTAATATATGGCTAATTTATTGTCTAAGTGTTCAACCTATTACTCCCCTATGGATACATATGGAGGTGATTTGTTGAATCAATAGTCAATGTTGATTTCATTGTTTGAAGATAAAAATGCTTTTGCTTCAAAAAAATCATTTTTTATTAATTAAAAGTTATATCTTCTTCTTTTGATGTAAAATAAGAATGTTTGAAAAAAAAAATTGACAAAGCTTATTGATTTTTTAATCAATAAGTGAGTTTTAAATGAAATCTTCATAAAATTAGGCTCTAAAAAACTTAGTGACAATTAAAAATACATATTTCCATGAAATATTCAAGGTTCTTATAATCTGTATATAAAATAACTGGATTAGAATTGCCTTCTAAATAATGATGTCATTCTTGAAATAAATCTATAATTATACAAAGCTCTTTGTTAAAAATTTTGTAATTGATCTCTAAGAATAAAAAACTATTGAATAAAGATTATTATTTGTTCTTATTTGTGATAATATTACATCTAATATAAAGTCTAATGCATCTATTTTTACAAAAAAAAAAAAAATAGAAAAATTAGTGTAATACAAAGTTATTATAATAATAAATATAGATTTAAGGTTTTAAAAGATGTTCCAACTTCTTTGCTCCACTTAAGTTTTTCATTACATGTCAAACATGTAAGTAGAGCTATAACTTGAGAAAAATTCGTAATGAATATTTAATAATAATTGATAAATTTCATTAGCATCTTTTATTATTTTTGGAACCTTCTAATCTATGATAGATTGAACTTTTTTACTATCCATCATAAAGCTTTCATTTGAAATGATATATTCTAAAAAATAAACTTGAATAATATGAAATATACATTTTTTTAATCTAGTATATAATCATGCATCTCTAAATTTTTATAAGACATAACAAACATGAAGTTTATGCTTTTTTATATTTTCAAAATAAATTAAGATGTCCTCTAAATAATAAACAATAAAATCATCTAAAAATTCTCAAAAAACATCATTTATAAGATATTAAAAATTAATTGGAATATTTGTGAATCTAAAATATATAACATTATATTTAAAATATCTATAGATAATTAAAAATATTTTCTTGTATTCATCTCTTTCTTATATGGATATTAGATTGTATACTCCTTATAGATCTATTTTAGTATAAATCTTAATTTGATTCAATTGATCAAAAAGTCATGATATCAAAGTTAAAGGATATTTATTTTTAATAGTGATCTTGTTGAGTGTTCAATAATCTACATACATTTGCATAGATTTGTCTTTTTTCTTCACAAATAAGATGGAAGCTTCTTCTAGAGATTTTGAATGGCATATGAAGTTC